ACTTGTTCACACGTTCGAGCCTAGTTATCATATAATGAGCATATATATATAACTAATTAGCCAAATAATAACTTAACAAAGTAAGTTAAGACACTTAGAAACATGTATACACTTTATATAAGTGTTAGAGGTCCTAATGGTTGCATCTAAGTTGATACGGGACAAGGTAAAGGGGGTTTAATGCACAAATGGTCTTGTATATGAGTTCACCACCCAACAAACCCCACCCTTTGGAGTTTACGGCTGTGAACCCATGAGTTTACGGCCATGAACTCCTCACTTAGTGCTTTTGGGTGTTTTGAAGTGTTATCTTGATCCTAGAATAAGCCTAGCCTTGTTGGAATAATCCTTGAAGTAGTTTAAGGCCTTGGAATGCTCCTTTGGGGAGTTTATGGCCAAAGGACCATATCTCCTAGAGTTTACGGCCGTAAACTCCTATGGGGTGTTGGTTTTAATTCATTTGAGGCACATGCACATGTAGGATAGCTTCCATGTTTTTATCTAAGGCTAAAAGGGACAACAGGCACACATTTGTGCCTTCACTTGGAGTTTACAGCCCAAGTAATGTTCGTTGGCCATAAACTCCCTTTAAGGGATGGTTTTGATGTCTTTACTCCCCATTCAAGTCCTATGTGTTCAAGGGTAATTGTCTTAAAGCCTTAGGGGTGTTTAGGGTGCATTTTACCCTTAGAAAAGGGGTTTACGGCCCAAGAGATATTCTTGGCCGTAAACTCCTATAAATCTATGATTTTCAAGTGTTTTGAAGTCCAAAATAGCTAGAAGAATTAGAGGGTAATTGTCCTTAGGGTTAAGGGGTGGTTTAGGGCACTTATAGCCCTTAAAAAGGGGTTTACGGCCCAAGAAATGTCCTAGGCCGTAAACTCCTATTACTTGTGTTTCTTGAATGATTTATAGCCTCTAATGATCATACACTAAGTCCTTAACTAGTTGCTTAACAAGAAAATGGGACTAGGTAGCCTTTAGGCTTCGTTTTGGAGTTTACTCCGCAAGAACGTTCTTGGGCGGTAAACTCCCGGATCTTGCAGTTTAGACATGTAATTGATGTTATAAAGCATATAACAAGTATTGAAACACATTTAGGAAAGTAGACTCACAATCCGGGATGAAAACCTGTAACAACCCGTTATTTCAAGTCAGTAAAAATCGAGTCTTGTAACCTCTTTGAGAAAAGAATTAGAATATCATCGAAAAATGAAGCATTCAAAAACTCTATTTGGAGTACACTATGTGGTAGTTATCGTCTTAAGGTTTCCAAACATATAAATAACACAAAAATCCGAGTTATAACGAAGAAGTTATGATCATTCTAAGTTTTCCGACAAAAACCGGCAATACGAAGTTGCGTAAAAACGCAAAGTTTCAATAAAACACTTTCCGACCTTAGGTGTCTAAATGAAAGTCGTAGATATCGTTAAACTACAAACATGCATAAAAAGAACGCTCAAATCGGACATCGTATGAATAAGTTATGAATTTTTAAAGAAATTCCTTAATCACGTCATTTTAATAAATAAATAATAAAAATAATTCCGGAATTTGCCAACGGAATCTAAATGAAAGTTGTAGATCGTAGTCTCACCTTCGCGGGATATAAAGAACGTCAAAAACGGAGTTCGTATGAAGGAGATATGAATTTTCGAAGTTTGATAAATAATTTATATATAATTTTTATTAAAACTTCGGTATTATCCGAAGGGGAGTCAGCGTCCTCATCCGAGGTACGCGCTGCGTACCCCTGTACGCCCCGCGTACCCGAGGAACTTGGCCTCAAACCGTCCACGTCGCCCTATGCGAGGCACCCGACCCGCCCGTCCGACCCGCCGTCCCATCCGACCCGACAGCCTGAGCCGTCCCATCCGAGGCCGAGGCAGTCGAGGCTTCGGTCACGCATGACGTACGCGTACGCGCTGCGTACGAGCGTACGCCCCGCGTACGAGGCCTCTCAGGCCCCCTATAAATAGCATGCGAGGGTTCCCGGGAAAATGGCCCATTCTCTCTCCTTTTGCTTGCGTTTTACCTCGTTTTCCGTGCTCGCACTACCCCGAAGCCCTGGTCATTTTGTGCAAGTCCCGAAGGTCGATTTTACTCCCGAGGAATCCCGAGATTTCCGAGGAAAATCCATTTCCCGAGACGAAACTCTGCCCGGTTTTCCATCTTGCTATCTTCAAACTTTCAAGTGAGTTCATACCCCTTTCAAACACACTTTAAATACATTTAAATGCTTTTATACTCTTTTAGGGGGGGAATACAAGTAAACATACGGTTATTATCGTGTATTTTATAAAGTTTACTTCACTTGTTTTATCGAATAAATCACTTGGAACTTATTTCTATTATGGAAAACTCTTGTCATACTTTGTGTGCATTAGACATTATACAAAGTATATAATGATTTCAAAGTACCTTTCATTGTTAAGTCGTTTTATACATTCTAAAAACTTATGATTTTGCTTTGTCAAACATTGTGAAAAAGGATAAACTTTGCATACAAAACTATCACTTTAATACGACTTAGTTGAGAATCCATGAGACGTGTATATCTTCAAACGTTACTTTTCTTTATTAGAAAGTAATGCTGCAAGTCCTGTCTATAACCAGAGTCTCCCGTTCGGAGAACGTGTCAAATGTGTATAGATCTATACGGGAAGTCATGATCCCGCGCCCTGACTGTTAGCTACAGTCCGTCTTTTGGGGTGACAGTTGTCATAACGCTGCGACGCCTGAAGAACGTCGTTACAGGCATATTATGTTTAGTATGGTTATAAAACTCATCGGATATACAATTATTATGGTATTATGCTTTTATGAACGAGTAGCTATTAAAGCTATTCTTCATCTAACAAATGCGATCTTCGTATAGCTTTATTATATAAAACTATGACACAACTTTTGAACGTCGGTTTCTTGCAAAGTTTTGGTCTTAGAGACTGCCATTTATGTTAGGAAAATAAGGGATTTTCCTGGTGCAATTATTTACAACTTATAACACGAACATTCATATGCATTTCATACTTTTATAAGAAAATAAGGGTTTTTCTTGGAAACACAACAACTCGTATCTCAACCATTAGGGAAAATATGGGATTTTCTGGATTAATACATTCACTTTCAACAAAACAAATCACAACTCTTTACATTTGAAATGCTGCGTTTTCTGGAAAATATACACCCATTTTGGAATGGCATCCAATTTTTCTAAACTACTTATGAACTCACCAACTTAATTGTTGACACTTTTTCTTTGAAATAACTTGTATTCTCAGGGAACCGCTAAGCAGGTTTGGGAATCAACTTTTGGGATTAACGCGCTGGCGTTAATTACTTCTTTTGAATGATGTTTATGTATTTATCTTTTGAACATGTAATGAATACAATTATGTAAACATCTTGGAAACTTTAATATATATGGTGGTGTGTACTTTCCTTTCTATGAACTGTTATGATACTGAATATGACGTCCTCCGCCCCCGAACGTTTCCGCCGTTCTGGTTTGGGGGTGTGACAGATTGGTATCAGAGCTTTGTTTATAGGGAATTAAGTATATCAAAACCATTCCTTTTTGATATACAACTATAAACTCAACTGGGCAAAAACACTCTGAGAAAAATTCATACTTTTGAAAGTAAACCTAATTAGTTTTAAGGTAAGCATGCACTCATTTATACTAATAACATTTTCATAGTAAATAACTTTAGAAGTATTATAAATAAGTTGTGCAGTACAGGTACGCCTTGGGACATGTAATCGGAACTGGGAAGAATATAGCCTGATCAACTATATTTGTCCAAGAGCCGACTAACGTATGCCAAGGAGTGTCTGCAATGGACAACAAATTTAAAACTTACCAAAAGCATATCGCTAAAGAATACTGAGGGAGTATTCGAGTGCCGTCAACCATTAAACTTAAGGGTAAGTTTCATGTGCTCTAGCTTATAGTAAACTTTTAACTCTATTCTCGTACAGTCTAAATGGCGGGATTCCATCACCCCAATGACCCCTACTACCCCAACCAAGGTAATGGAGGGTGGATCGAAGAAGATCCTGAAGAAGACGAAGAGCCTATAGAGTTGGAGGGAGGGGATGACTCTGGCACGGATTCGGAGCCAGAAATTATAAATCCACCAATCCCACAATCTCCCGTCCACGTGAGGAATTTCCAAGGACCCACTCCAGTGTGGGGAAGTCACCTCCATCATTGGAGCCAACAACAAAGCTTACGCCCTCCCTACGGCATGTGCCGAGACTTCTATGATGTGAGAGGCGGGGGATCAGCCGACCGAGCACTTCCGGTCATGGTTGGCAAACTCGCCAACCAGTGCTATCAATCCGGAGTGCAAGCCAACCGAATCCGAGAGGTCAATGTGGAAGTACAAATCCACACGGCCGATATCAACCGCCTAGAGTTGTTGCAGAACGACATCCACATTCGCGCCGAAGCATTTCAAGCACAAGCAAATGCGGCCTTCGCAGAATTAAGAGAACAACAAGCTGCGTTTGATAGACGCCTCATGGAGTCGAAGCAGTCCGACACGGAGTCGAGCTCCAAACGCAAAGCGCGCCGCAAGTAGTACTTGCCCGACTCTCAAAATTTTGTTATAAATTAGGACTTCGGATAAAAGTATTATTTTCTTTAAATTGTTCTGTAATCGGAGGCCTTTAGAAAGGCCAAGAACTTTTGTCTAGACCCCGCTGTAACACAACTATATGTTTAATATATATAAGGGTATACCCCTTTTCTTGTTGTTGTTAATCATGCGCAATTCGTTCGATTCATTGGTACATCTATTCAAACTTTACTTTCAAGCTCAAAACATTGTGTCAGTCAAACCCAACTTCTTAGAACTATTAGAAGTTAACTCAATATCATTCAACTCTGAACTGCCAAAACTTATAAATTTTTCCATATTTTTTTTCTTTTGGCAGCACGATGCCTCCTCGTCCAAACCTAAGGCCCAGGCCGGGCACGGTACCACCACCACCTCCACCACCAGCTTATGATCCAGCCATGGTCCAGGCTGCTATCACAGCAGCAGTAACTGCAGCCCTCTCGCAAATAAACTCTCACGGAAATGGAGGGGCGGGAAGCAGCACGAATCATCCAAATCATGGCACTGGTCATGGCCAAGGAAGAGAATGTACTTACAAGGAGTTCTCTAACGCTAAGCCAAAAACTTTTAATGGAACTGGGGGAGTCATTGCACTAATGCAATGGTTCGAGAAGACCGAAACGGTCTTCGAGATCTGCTCATGCCTAGAAGCAAGCAAAGTCAAGTTCGCTGCTTGCACTTTCGTAGATCGAGCCCTCACTTGGTGGAAAAGCCATGTGAATTCAGTGACGCTCACTGTCGCCAACGCCATGAGTTGGGACGATCTAAAGGTTCTACTACTGGAAGAATACTGCCCAAGGGGCGAAGTGCAAAAGCTGGAGCAGGAGCTCTGGAATCTGAAAATGACTGGGTCTGACCTAGTCACCTACACAGCTAGGTTCAACGACCTCGCTGCACTGTGCCCTACCATGGTCAACCCAGAATCAAAGAAGGTTGAAAGGTACATTTGGGGGTTGTCACCCCAGATTCAAGGGCATGTCCTAGCTTCCGGCCCTGTTACCTACAACAGCGCTAAACGCCTGGCTCAGCGACTCATCGACCACGGAGTAAAACCCAGTATCATTTCACAACCGCAAATCCACCTAGGGAGGCTCAGGGCCAGAGTAGGCCTTGGAACAAAAGGAGGGGACAAATCTCCAGGAAAACCCCAAGAAACAACAAGTAATAGCGACCCACGCTATGACTGTACCTGTGAACCCTGCCCCCACAAGCTCATATAATGGGAAACTTCCTAAGTGCAACCGATGCAGCTTCCACCACCATGGTCCTTGCCATGATCTTCAATGCACCAAGTGTAATAAGAAGGGACATACAGCCCGCTATTGCAAAGGGCCAACCCAACCATCCGTCCCCACTACTAATACCGGGGTAAGCCGCGCCTGCTTTGAGTGCGGAGACACGGGGCACTACCGCAGGGACTGCCCAAAGGCAAACAACCGGAATACCGGCGGAAGGGGCCGAGTTTTCGCAATGGGACAAGATGAAGCCATTGCGGACCCTACTGTTGTTACGGGTACGTTTCTTCTCGATAACTCGTATGCATGCATTTTGTTTGATAGTGGAGCGGAAAGGAGTTTTGTGAGTCACGACTTTAAAGGCCTGCTAAAATCAATACCACAATCATTAAGTGAACCATTCATAGTAGAAATGGCCAACGGGAAAACCGAAGGCACTAAGGAGATATACTTAAACTGCACCCTAACTTTAAACGATAATCCCTTTTCAATCAACCTCATGCCAGTCTCGATTAAGAGTTTCGATGTCATCATTGGCATGGATTGGCTGAGTTCTCATCATGCGGACATTCTATGTTACGATAAGGCCGTTCGCCTTAATCTGCCAACCGGCGAAACTTTCATTGTCTTGGGCGACAAACCAAGTACCACTCTTCGTATCATCTCAAGTATCCAAGCTCGGAAATGCCTACGCAAGGAGTGTCACGCGTTCTTGGCACATGTTGTAGATGTGAAACGCGAAGTCCAAGACATCAAGAGTGTGCCCGACGTACGCGATTTTCCCGACGTTTTTCCCGAGGACCTTCCGGGAATACCACCCGCGAGACAAGTTGAGTTCCGAATCGATCTGGTTCCCGGAGCTACCCCAGTAGCCAAAGCACCCTATCGATTAGCCCCGGCAGAGATGCAAGAGCTATCCAGCCAACTGAATGAACTACTTGGAAAAGGATTCATCAGGCCGAGCTTCTCGCCATGGGGAGCACCCGTACTGTTCGTGAAAAAGAAGGATGGATCATTCAGAATGTGCATCGACTACCGAGAACTCAACAAACTTACCATCAAGAACCGATACCCCCTACCCCGAATCGATGACTTATTCGACCAACTCCAAGGAGCCAACTACTTCTCCAAGATCGATCTGAGGTCGGGATATCACCAGCTGCGAGTCCTGGAGAGTGATATTCCCAAGACGGCCTTCCGAACACGATACGGACATTACGAGTTCGTAGTGATGCCGTTCGGACTAACCAATGCCCCGGCCGTATTCATGGACTAATGAATCGGTATGTCGTCCATTCTTGGATAAATTCGTGATAGTATTCATAGACGACATACTCATTTATTCAAAGAATAAAGAAGAGCATGGTCAACATCTGAGGCAAGTTTTAGAGACGTTACGGACTGAGAGACTGTATGCAAAATTCTCAAAATGTGAATTTTGGATTAGAAAGGTGGACTTCCTCGGTCACGTGGTCAGCAAGGAAGGAATCCACGTGGATCCATCAAAAATCAAGGCTATCAAAAACTGGTCTGCGCCAACTACACCAACAGAAATTCGCCAATTTCTAGGTCTTGCTGGTTATTACCGAAGGTTCATCCAGAATTTCTCCAGCATCGCAAAGCCTCTTACCGCCTTAACCCAGAAAGGTGTGACCTACAATTGGGGAGAAAAGCAAGATGCTGCATTTCAGACTTTGAAACAGGCCCTTTGCAGCGCGCCCATCCTTTCTCTCCCAGAAGGGACCGAAGATTTTGTGGTGTATTGCGACGCTTCGAAGCAAGGGCTGGGCTGTGTACTAATGCAGAGGGGAAAGGTTATTGCATATGCCTCACGACAACTGAAAACGCATGAGGTCAATTACACCACTCATGATTTAGAACTTGGGGCGGTGGTCTTCGCTCTTAAAATCTGGAGACACTACCTATATGGTACCAAATGCACTATCTTTACAGACCACAAGAGCCTACAACACATCTTCGACCAGAAGGAGTTGAACATGAGACAGCGACGTTGGGTCGAATTGCTCAACGACTACGAATGTGAGATTCGCTATCATCCAGGAAAGGCTAACGTCGTGGCAGATGCCCTTAGTCGTAAGGAGTACTCTGGCCGAAGAGTGAAGTCATTAGCCATGTCAATCCATTCGCACCTGTCGACACAAGTCAAGGAAGCTCAAATAGAGGCCCTGAAACCCGAAAACGTGACAGGTGAGACCCTTAGGGGAATGGACAAGAATTTAGAAATCAAGAGTGACGGAGCACGCTACCTCATGAACCGAATATGGACGCCCAAGTTTGGTGGACTTAGAGAGGTAGTTATGAGCGAGGCACACAAGACTCCATACTCCGTACACCCCGGGTCAGACAAGATGTATCAAGATCTCAAACAACTCTACTGGTGGCCAAACATGAAAGCAGAGATCGCTACATATGTGAGCAAGTGTTTGACTTGCGCCAAGATCAAAATAGAACACCAGAAACCCTCAGGACTACTCCAACAACCTGAAATTCCTGAGTGGAAATGGGAGCAGATTTCCATGGACTTCATAACGAAACTGCCCAAAACTCAGGGTGGCCAAGATACTATTTGGGTAATCGTCGATAGATTAACCAAGTCCGCTCATTTCCTACCGATCAAGGAAACTGATAAAATGGAAAAGCTATCGAGAATCTACATCCGAGAGATCGTACGACTCCATGGAGTGCCAATGTCTATCATCTCGGATAGAGACAGCAGATTCACGTCTAGATTCTGGCAATCATTGCAAAAATCCATGGGAACAAGATTGGACATGAGTACAGCCTATCACCCCCAAACTGACGGACAGAGCGAAAGAACGATCCAAACCTTGGAAGACATGTTGCGAGCATGTGTAATCGACTTTGGTAAAGCATGGGATGTTCACTTACCTTTGGTTGAGTTCTCTTATAACAATAGTTATCATACTAGTATCAATACTGCTCCATTTGAAGCCCTTTACGGCCGTAAGTGCAGATCACCTCTGTGCTGGA